TGTAACTCACCTTTCACAAACCTTATCTCATGAACACTTTGATTAACTGCTTTCGTATTTTGATATTCGGTCAGCGTGGTCAACCTTTCTGTATAATTGAATTTTCACTCTCTTTCCAGAATAAAGCCTTCCTCTCTCAAATATTTGATATTGTGCGAGATTTTGTTGAGCAAATAATATTTATTTTTGAGTTCATCCTACTGATTATAAAGAGTGCATCACATATGTGACGTATTCAAATCCTCGTTTCATTGTTGCAACTGAAAAAAATCAATGTCTGCAAAAGTTTGCATCGTTTTGCTTTAGTTGTTTAGATTTGCAACTTATCGGACTTTTTTACCGTCTGTACATTCCGCGCTTTTGAATCCATATTAAATGTTCGAACTAGTCTAAACTAAGAAGTTCTGTGAATAAGTAGTCTGATATTGGAACAGGAAGGCTCAATATATCCATCAGTATTAAGATGCAATCGTGACCAGCCAACGTCTCACTGATAGCAGGAAACCCGATGGCTTTATCCCAATACGATGCACATTATCTAAAAGAGGTGTATAAGGCTATGGAAAAGATTCGGAGACCAAGATGATAATTTAAATTTGAATATTTTCTTTAAGCTGGATGTCTTAATCATGAAGTTTACAATTTTATTCTGAATAACATCAACAAGATTAATAATGCCCCTCAGAATAGGTGTAGCACATAAACCAGCTAAATTACATGGATCAATCTTGTGCAAACTGAATGATAAACTGACAAAAGAAGGAAAGTCAAATAACATCTATGAAGTAAACGGATTCATACTAGGGAAATCATATGTCAGACAGAGTGGATTTTCTCATCATCTACATCTGTATCGAAGCTAACTAGCTGTTAATCTCTATAATTTATCTGCATTTTATTCAATGTGCTTGGATTAGTGGAGACACACATTTGATTAGGAATGTGTTGAAACTATAAACAGTGAATTTGAAAAAGCTTGGCACACATGTAAATCGATGCAATTTGTCAAATGGTGAGAAAAACCATGGATGAATAATAGGATCAAGTATTAATTCAAAGAGACAGACAAATAAAATGAGTGCGTATACATTGACAGATTAGATATTATCCCTAACTAGTCAAGATTAACGTCAACAGGATATGACGTCAGTCATACTTGAAGAAATGCGATTATATAATTTCTATATGACGTTTGTCCTAATGAATTTGTTGAGAAGAATAATGGAAGCTTCCCAAGTAAACCGTTAGGCTCTGGGAACGAAACTTCATCAAAGGAAAATAATCATTTTCAATTCATATGATTGACAATCAAAAACGTACCTATTGTTTTGTATCAAATGAGTACTCTAGTAGCATTTTGGACTCAGTAAATTAATATAAAATTTTTAGGCCTTTGAAGCCATGTGTATTAGATTCGAATTACAAGATCAACATGAACTTTGAGATTTGAATGCATTCGGCTGACAGGTTCCGAGAATGAGGCAAAGAAATCTTGAATTTCACTACTGGTTGTATTAAGAACCAAATAAAGCCTACAAATATTTCATCACTTTAAAACAGAATACCGGCAAACTAGAAGAGTGAGTAATGCGGATCATGATTACTGAATTGTTGTGCTGTAATCTAATGACTCATGATTGTTAAAATCAAAGGAATAACTAGTTAAGTGTTCAATTAGGTGGCAATAATTTTTGATCTTTTCATTTCCCTTATCAATACATTTAATCCAAAATCTGAATCCAGTTCACAACAGTTACCATTATCCAAACTTTTGTTCATTAACTTATTGATTTATATCACCTGTATTACGACTATTGTATGAATTTTAGGCAAACAATTTGCGCGCATTATTATGAGTAACATTACGATTCGATTGTCTTAACTTTCTCTATCGATCTCTCTATTGATGTGATGCATTGATCACTAAAGTTCAACATTTTCGCCAGAACACTCCACTCGACGCCAACTCTCCGCACAAGACTGGCCCAACTAGCACCTCAACTCCAGACGCGCAGCAGCGTCCACAGAACAGCACCCTGCTTCCTACTGGTTGGCAGCCACACCAAATGTAGTGAATGAGAACACGGATGAGGACAACCAACTAAATATTTTACACTAATTACAACGTTACTTGCTAAAATGCAAAAACCATACTATGATACTCTATTTGCAAAATGTTCTTCAATTGTCTCAGGCTTCATTGTTCCTGGATTTCCACACAAATTGCTTTTTATTTCTGTTCTCCTCTTCTCGATCTTCTCAATCTTCTGCTGTCAGATATTCTATTCCTTCCTCACCATATATACTACTTATGTCAATATAAGTAGCTCACACCACACTACTACTACTACTATTGCAATTACAAATATAAATACAACGAATTGAAAAAACCGTAATACAACCACAAACAAAATTACTATCACCACGTCACACTCCCCACATTCTCACTCCATCCCGTGTCACTTTGCACACTTCATATTATTCATTCACAACACCGACCAGTCACAGTTCCCTGCCTAGTCGCCCTCACAAACACAACATCGTCTCCTCACTGTATCCAACTACTACTTTTTATCTTAAAATGTGGTAAGTTATCTTCGCAATAGTTACTGTCACGCAGATGAAGGCTGTTTGTATGTTATAATTATACTTTGTAGGTGGATGACGAGAAACCGCGAAATACGGGAAATTCATGTTATTCTGCCACATTGTTTGTTCTTGCACAAGTAGAATTTACAACTGAGGAAAGGTTTGAAATCTGTGAATACTGTCAAATGAAAACATCCATGGGAACTGTCCCAAAACGTCATGTTGATTATATAGTGGTGAAGGGTTACAAATTTTATTCAGAGATGAAGCAGTGCTTTCTTTAACCTGAAAACAACCTACCTGTTTTCACTTCAATTTCTCTATAAAAGAGTAGTAACCATTTGTAAAATGAAATATCCATTCAACTTTGTTCTGTATGCGTAATTGATAGTTAGTCATATGAGAGCATCATTAGTAAACCAAATTGCTTATTATATTGAACAGTTACATCTGGTTAATTAAACAAAAGAGAAAACCATACTATTCTCTTTTTGATCTTCTCAATCTTCTGCTGTCAGATATTCTATTCCTTGCTCACCATATATACTACTTATGTCAATATAAGTAGCTCACACCACACTAATACTACTACTGTTGTGAACAGAACACGACTGTTGGACAATCCAATGTATTTCAGCAAACATTACAAAGTATCTCAGTAAATTGTAATAACCATACAATGGACAGTTAATTTGCAAATTAACAACCAATAGTCTCCATGTTCACTCTTTCTTCTTTAATTCCATTGCTGATGCATTTTCCAAACGATTGCGTTTCATTTCAGTTCTTTTGTCATCGGTTTTCTGCCAAAATACATAGATTTGTGATTGTCAGTTGAAGTAGTATCATTTATATAAAATAGAACATTTCATCTGGAGACTAAACGGGTGTCTTTTCTATGTTTTCTCCTATTGTGTTAATAAGGGTATCTATCAGTTTAATGACATTCATTTGAAAGTCATAATGAACAGAACTTTCTACTTTCTTCAAATATTCTTAAAAGCTTCTGCTTGAATAGAAAAATGACTTAATGCAGCCTTATATTTTGTAGACACACAGTTCATAGTATGACCAAATCTGAGTTATTCAACGTGTAGTCCATTAAGTAACTGTGGTAGGAGAGCGAATTTATGTTAAATCATGGACTAAGCTTGAATTGAGACTAGTCAGTCTATCAGATGCTATGGCATATAACCCATTTGTTGAATGCACATAGATTTGCAAATCACTTTACTCTTTCATTTCTCTCTCTTAATCCATGTCGTCAATTCCGACTTTGGCATTTAGATCTATGAGGATGGTGAGGTCCTTTCTTGAGCACTTAGTTAGGATTGATTGTAGTTTCTAACAGAAGTGACCTTTGCTGTCATTGGTGGATTCACAAAATCGGGTAACATTTATTGGGATCCCCTCCTTTATTGTTTTCAATGATGCTTTGATAATTTCGGATCCATGAGATTCCCATTCTACAAGTGCATTTTGTACTTCTCTGGACAGCATTAGAGCAACTCTCTGAGTGTGTGAACCATTTTTCCTCTTCGTGATCGGAGTACAGCAGCATGTTTTCCGTATCCAGTCATTGCTCTTCAGCTTGCGTCCAACTACATTGAGTATCTGGACAGCGACAATCTCTATTTGCAATGTGCTATAACGTTAAAGCACTTCAATGTAATTGAGGTGACTAAAAATAGGTTCAGTGTCGACTTCAGACTGTGAGTGCCTCGTAAAGCTGGAATTCCATGTGCAACGCTGAAATCCTATATCACGTGAACTGTTCTCGCATGTAGCCATCGAATCATCATTCAAACCGTAAGGCTCTTTTGTGATGCTGATGAATAAAAAAAACTTCTAGTTAATATCATTTTCAAGAGAAAGCTTTGAAAGAAGCTCTTGACCGTATTATACAAATATCAACAATAAAATCGTGGAAGGAATCATAATCCGTCTTGATGACACCTCTATAACCATAGTTTGTCGCTCACCATTCACCTAATACGTATTAATGAAGTAACGAAATATGGAAGTGTTTATCTATGTATTCATAAAGTGTTTCAACAGATCACTCCATCAAAATGAACAATCACACCGGACTCATAGTTGACTGCAATGATCCCGAAATCACTTATGCGTAATGCCACGTAGTTACGAGTTAAATTTGTAGAACTCATGTGATATTATGCATCTTGAATTATATGAAAGCGATAACGCGAATATTGAAAACAGTGTTTATTATTTTATAAAAAGGATAACATCAGCTATCATGTTAACAATCAAAAGCATGTACAAAGTATCATGAAATAACTGTCCAAATTAGTAAGAAGACAAATGAAATTCTAAAGTATTCTAAAAAAAGCAGAATAGAGACAAGTTGTTCAGAGTTTTCGAAGCAATTTATAAGACTTTTTTATGGATCATTCATCACTTCTCTTTCTTCTAAGTAACCATCTCCAAATTATATAACCGATGCATATCAGAAATAGAGAGGCGACCAAAGGAATTACAACGTACAAGTACCAATGTGACTTGTGTTGCTTATTTTCATCCGTTGTCTTGGTAGTCTGAAGAAAAACAAAGAATTATCAGTTTTTAACAAATATCAAATATTTACTAAGTGTTTATCTGTTTCTCCAATAGTTTTCATGAGGTTTTCACTAACCTGAACCTCAGTGATCCTTAAAGTTCTTTCAATGTGTTCCGTATTTGTTGAACTATTCAAATCGTTGACATCCGAGGTCTTCTAAATGATTCAATCAGAAGCATTCATCACTAAACATCAAATATCATTCTTTTATTTCATTATTCATTACAAATCATTCTCAGTAATGATGACACAAGAGATTCTCATACATAGTTGCTGAATTCGAATTCGTCAAATCATTCAGGAAATATTAGCGATTTGACAATCAGTGTGCTCAGTAAACACGATCCTACACCTAGTTGACGACCCCTTTGTGTGATGAAATATGTGTTCTGGATGTCACATCTAATCACAATCCGAATATAAAGCAGAGGACTTATAAGGTACAGCTTCATTGAAGCAATCTATTGAGGTTACTTATTTTCTACAGAGTATCAAAAATCATTGTTCCGAGATTCGACAATGGTAGTCTACATACTTTCACTAATTCTCCTAATCTGATACACAATTTCTAACTGTTAACGCTTCTTCGCTTTACTTGGTTTAATCGGTGCATTTTTATTATTTACATACATCTACGATTACATTTAGGACTTTCGAAATTACGGTTTATTCACTGAGCTGAAAACATAATTTGAAACGATGAAGCTGAGCGATGCTTCGATTCATTGTTTACTTTTTTTTCACGAAACGGAAGCATAAACTCATATGTCGTCAACCTATACAAAGCTTTTATTTAGTTACTGAGGATGGCTAAGTGGCAATTTCTTATTGATAGCAATAAAAGTATTTTTTCCAGTTAAAACATTTGCTCAGAATGTGAAATTTGAGGTAATTGCAAACAACATATGAAGTTTACTAATTACCAACCTCAACACGGCAGTCATTGACTTTCAAGCTATGAGTGTTCTGATTGTTACTTTCTATACATTTCCCCCCTTTTTCACACCAAATACATGTCGTTTTCGATGTCTTTGCATTTTGACATATCTCACTTGTATTGTACTGCGAACAAATTTCTATGAAAAGAATAAGGTGAATTCATTTGAAGTTAATGAATAGAAGAACAGAGAAATAAGAAACCTGTAAATATTACTCAATGACGTGATGGTGATTTCTGAGTTAAGTGATTTATCCATTCGGTGGAAAATGGTCAACATGGTGCATCATGCAAAACTCAGTACACCTTTAATTTCTCTTCAATTTCAAGTCTGCATTTTTGAATTGAATGAAATTACTTTGTGTGCAAAGAACAAGTGACGACTTTTTGACAAGGAGAAATTGTTGACTTTTCATAACGGTTGGGATTCACACATGTGCACACTACGTTGTCACTGAGTTCAGCAAAGCATATTGCAATTGACTTTGATGGTTATACACTTTCTATCCATGAAATCGTTTTTGTGAATGAGATAAGTGCCATAAACTCGGTTGTTCATATACATAAAATTCAAATTGAACTATGTTGATTCAATTAAATAACAAAGGATAAGTGACATCGTCCTTCCAATCGTCAATGACAACTTCAATGCCTCGAAAAAATTCTACATCTACATATCAAAATAATAACGAACACTTCCTTGTCAATGCACAATCGCTTACTGACACCTAATATTTTTCGAAACCGAAAGCATTCCATCATTCATTTTATGACTTTATGTTCAAGTTAACTTCATCAAGGTGAAAACTTTAATGTAGTTGAAATCCGGTCGTTATTCATGCCTAATATTAGCAAACGAATCAACGGGTAGTGATGAATAGTAAGTTAAACGTCATTCGAGACACATGCCTGGATATCATTTATTAAATGATACATGAGATTTTCAATTTTCAAAGAACAAAAATGATGTATTCAAGTGCGAAAATAGTAAGTGCCGAATAAATCAAATTTCACGTACCTCCGATGGCTTCAAACTCCACCAACGTACCACTTTTGATCCATTTTGCTGGAACACGTATCTCATGCTCTGCTGTATCTTGTGTGACAAATTGAAAGGAAAAAGAGATTTAGAATTTCCAGTTCTTCTTTAAGCGAAACAAGTTTATTTGCTTCACTTAAATGGAGAGCAAATCAAGGATCTGTAGTATTTTTCATTACGTACAGAGTGATGACTGTCTTAAAAAAAACTATGGTTTACATCGCTCTAATTTTTGAAACCGGCCCGTTAAATTATAAATGAAATAGTTACGTTTCTGAGTTATTTAACGATGAAATCAGCTGCACGTCTGGGATAGATGCGTTCATCCCCTTACATATTATTTCACAAGGCATATTACACGGAGGCAACATTCAAATCTACAAATCAAGGAACAATGGTGGTTTGTATATCAATCCTAACAGAGTGCATATGCATGAATAAGGGACTGATCAGTTGCAGTACAAATCACTCATGTGGGGACTGAACCAAAGAATGTAAAATGACAATTATCTTCATTGTCTAAATGACTCAACAATGCACTTAAACCTGTCAATGAAGAACATCTGGCGGAACATTTGATGAACCTTCTCACATTCAATCATAAACACTGCATCTCACCTATTCACGTACACTAAAAACTCCTTTTCAAACTCAGCTTCATCTCTCAACAACACATGTTTATTTCAGTGAAGCAAGACGATTGAAAATTTCGTAGACGAAATATCATTTCCAAACTAGCACTGCTTTATTTCTGCTTCATACAAAACACACTTCCTTTTACATTGAGTGTTGAGATGATCAAAGACTGGAAGTTTGATTGTATTATTGTGAGTGTGTGAATACATGAGTGGATATATTTTGAGTTTGATATAGTTATTCATATATCCATATCTGGGTGAGTCTACCGGTAATCATAACTGTAAGAAGTTCCGAAAATATTTAGACAGTGTGTTTACGAATATCACTCCAATTTCATTCTGCACAATGAGCCACAACACTTAAATGACATTTCCACCAACTGACTTTACGCAAGAAGCAACTGAATAATAATCACTTTTACAAAGCTCTCTTTGATAAGATACATAGATTTTGTTCACTAACATGCTCATGACCTGGTACAAGTAAAGAGTAATATAAAACTAACTGGTGATTGATGACGTACGTCACTGTACATCAAAGAGTTAACGAGATTCGGCCTGCTTAAACATCTGGGCAACCTGTTTCCGTCATCTAGATATTTCAAAAAGTTATCTTAATTTGTTTGTTTTGATACATCATTATGCCTAGTGATCGCACAACCTATTCAAATGTATTTATGAAAAGAGTAAGATCTTTCGCTGTAACAGTTGCAGAAGGCAATATGCAGCGAGAAGTATGTACATTATCCAGATGTCGATTGACTGGGCAGCAAACTTCTAAGTGGCGATCACTAAATATTTATTATCAGGAAGGACGAAGAATTAAGAAACGGAAACTTGCTGAAGTACAGTGTGCTGAGAATTCTAAATTGCACCAAAAATATAATATTGAATAAAGCTAATAATAATAGTAATAATTCGCTGAAATATTTCTTACCTCCTTTACAACTTAATTGTCCAAAGATTCCCGATTGCAACTGAATTTCCTCAATTTCCATAGGAATCTGAAAAAAGATTGTTAAATGTCTGAGACAAGATCTGCTACCACACAATCATTTATATGAAATCGAATAATTACTGGAAAAGTGTATCATCATTTAGATCATCTCACTAAAAGCCAACTAATCGCACTCACACTAGGCATACTGATATTCTCAGTTTACTTTCCATGAATGTTTCATCCAATCTGTATAGATATTCCTGTCAACTTCGGCCAAGTGTTATGGACTATCTCTCGATCATGATATGTGGCGATAACTTGTGGGATGAATTTCACCGTCTATTGAGATGAAATGAGATTGTGAATATTTGACAGGATGCTGCACTCAGGATATTCCACAGTGAACATTCTGAACAGTCGATCGTCACTACATGAAATAAAACTCAACAGAATATGACTCTTTCCGTATAGTAGGCAAACATTTACAGCCAGTTACTATTTGGCACGAACAGGTTATTGTTTCTTGTGAAAGAATTTTAGTTCTGATTATTCACTGTTCATACCACTTGCTTGATTAGTGTCACTAGAGGATTGATAATAGCGTCAATTAGTCCGCTTGCCTATTACACAATGTTGATCTCTTTCTATCGTGTTCAGTGTAACTAGATTAATTTGACAATATTGATCAACATGAAATAGTAGAATGATGTGAATTACTTGAAACAATATCACATTTTTACTAAATTATGCAACTCACGTTATCATAATAGAAGGATACCATCCCATTTGGGTGTATTAAAGTCGTCATTGTGGCTGTAACCTCTACAGTAAGAAGAATAATGATACTCAGGATTTAGGATTTAAACGATGAGCAAGTTATTGTTTGATGTAACACTGTGGACAGATTTCAGTGGATATTAACTGTGTTGTTTGAAATGCTTTTTTCAGATGGATTGATAATAAATACATTGAAGTGAACGTCATTGAAATGAGACGGACATGAATCAATTCTAACAAATGTCAAATGCCTAGATTCTGAAGTTCTATTACTATTATCAAAACAATAAATCGTCTACTTTACCATTAAGGATCTGATAGTCAGGGATGTAATAACATTCCCGCAATATCCTAAATAATTCAATTTGAAACAATGGACACTCAGTATGCACGACATGATCTTAGGAGTGTTTGTCTACATATTGAACTTGAGAAATAAATTGGTGGTATATATATATAAAGATTTCTATCAGTTAACTAATTATGACTTCAGTGTCCATTTGTTGTAGATGAGAAACGAATAGCTTTAGATAACGATTTCTCAGTTTGCAACGTCAATATTTGGAAATGACTATGCGATGAAAGGATGTGTAGATGAATATAATGTGTGCAGCAATCGCTTTCTCTCCAATGTAGGACACAATTCATTTGTTTCGGAACACAGACTGTTTATCAAGTTCCACTTGAACCTGAAATGATAATAAATCTCTGCCTTCATTTTCCAACAAGCAGAATGAGATTGTGACTAATTATCCATGATGACATATATATTGCCTGTCAAATCCAGTCATTCACAGTTCATTTCAACTGTTCCAAATGTTTCGATGGATGTACTCAATTAGTGAGTGAATTTCACATTCAATTCCACCTTCGTTTGCCAGAATAGAAGCACCTTCATTCTTTTGTTGGCATTTTGGAAGGTTGGATATGTTTAAAATGAACAGAAAAAATATCAGTAATCACAGGTGGTGAAGATGTAAGTGTAAAAGTTTCATGCGAGTGATCAAACGATCGATCAATGTTTACTCACCTGAGTCATTAACGTTGATCGAAAAATTTCTTTGGACTCCTAATAATTCCTCTGAAATAATGAAAATCAAAAAGGATGTTTAAATATACTTTTTAACACGAACTGCCAACTTATACAAAATGTCGTCTCCATTTACAGATTTAAATGAACCGGAGTAGTGAAATGCTAAATCATCTCTCATGAGAAAAGTCCAAGGAATATTATCAATTCAACAATATGATGAACGTTTCAACACAATCAACTGAGAAGAATACTTCACTTCTTTGAAATTTCTTCTAGAAGCTTCTGACAGAATAATAGACGTTTAATAGGTATTCGACAATTCAAAAACAAAGTGCTTTTGGGATCCCTTTGTTCATCAATTCTTATGTTTGACCGAAATAAATGAGTGTCACATCGATGTTTGAAGTGTTCTGGTATGAGTAAATCATCTTGTACTAGCGGACTGTTCAAGCACGTTCATTGGTCAGCTGTTTCACGAAGTGCATGGATTCGAAATGCATAATCATACAAATACGATCACAAAAATAGTCTTGAATAATCGAATAATAACACACAGCAACTACGAGACAATAAACAATCAAGAATCAAGTAAGTGCTGTAAAAGATCTAGAGGACTTCAAATATAACTTGATAATTCATAGGCTTCAATAATCCAAACCGCCTTCTCTCACAACATAGCTTACTATTGAACAAGTGATCACTTTTATTTACTCAGTTTACAATGAAGTATCGTGTAGATGAGATATCTTCTGTTTTGCAGTTTTCATAGACTGGAGGGTTGGTAATTTACACTTTCGCAATTATATCACATGGTTTATCATTTCTATTCGATGAAAGTGTATAATTTCAGGTAGATCTCTGTTTGATTTATCAATTTCACTTTACAGCATTAAACACCTGCTTCGATACACACACGTTCTGTTGCAAAAACAACACAAACACAACAATCACTTTGTATTGGTTGCCACTCCTGTAATCATCAAGATAAATACTGAATCTTTTATACAAAATAAGTGTGAGAAAAGTGATCAAAACAAAGAATAACTGAATAATATAAGAACTCACTCTCATTCAAAACTCTGGATTCAGACTTCTTATAGTTTTCTATGTAATTATCAATATTTCCAATGTGGGACTCTCCAAATACATTTACATCATTTGTATCTACTGGATGAAAACATGCCACATCACTGATAAATTTGTAATAAATGAATAAACAATTTTAAATAATAAAACTGAACTGTAGTTGGTTTGCTATAAGGAGTCAAACCATGTTGAACAATGAAAAAATTCATTGAAAAAAGTTTTGCATGTCACAAGGAGCACAAAACTGATTCACTGAAGAAAATAGAATCAACTTTGATTCATTAAAAGAAATAAGATCAACAAAACTCAATAATAATTTGACTTCCAAGAAAATTTATGACTTACCACCGTCGTAAAAATGAATTCCTTTTACGTCACTACCGTAATAAGTAAACGAGAATTGAGGACCAGCGTCCTAAAATGTTGCAAACATATGGAAAAATATCTTTATTATAAAGTGTATTCAACTCACGTAAACGCCATCTATCTTATTTATAAAACGTTCACTCGGAACTGGTTGAGATTGGTTATGTTGAATCCTCATTGAATAACTATAATGAAGAGACTGGAATATGTGTATTAG